AAATATAATTGTACTTTTTAAATATATACGATTATTTACAAGTGATATTTGTGACCGGCATAGTCATATTTCATTGGCGACAACGTTGAAAATACTTACGAATAAATTATGAAATTATTAAAAGCTATTTGATTACTCGATTTCATATTCATATTACATTTCCAACATATCATTAAAATACAGAAGGAAAAATTGAAGATACAAAGCCTTGTGAAACACCAACATGTGAACATATATCACTTGCTTTACTCACTCATTACTAGAGTTTGCGCTAATGGTGGCTTTGTACTTATCTGAACTTTAAACTCTTTGATGCACCTACGCTCAAAAACTAACATGGGATGGCAAATTGCAAATGTTTGTTCAAACTTTGAACAAACTGAAAGGCCAAATGCACTTGTCACACGTCGCGACTTTGTATGTATTTGAGAATGATGTGAATTATTGTGAGTAATACTACCAGTATTTCGCATTTAACAAATGTACCTAAAAATATATCAGTTTTATTACTATTTGCTTATAAATAATTGGATATATATATATGCAGATTACATTTTAACCATAAAGATTTTGTTTTAGGTAAAGCAATAAAAGATATAGAGATTTGATATAATATTTTTTCATCGCGGCAAAAAGAAGATAGCTAGGTGCTTTCATTTTAAATAATATACGCCGTATTCCAACAAGGTCAGTGAAATGTGTGAAAAAGTAATTTTGTGCCTCGTCCTCCTGACACGGGAAAGTAGACATTTTTCAGGTAATAATGACGTGCTCCTTGAACAGGAATTCTTTTATAAGTTGCTGACTTTTTCTTCCGAGGAATTCCATTGCGAAGTCCCTCGAATTATTTATAGCAATCGAAATTGTAATAAGCGTCGAATTTTAATAAAAGTATTCTGCGCTCGCAGTACTTATGGAATGTTCAGTATTGTTACCACAGATAAGGGAATATTCCGTATCTTTAATTATTTTTGCTAGATGTATACTATCATAAATACATAAAAAAATATCGTTACGACTGTAATACTGGATGGGGTAATTAGAGGCATTTTTTATTATCGATGTCTTAACATTATAATAATAAATAATAATCTTAGGACAATACCCATAGCGCCAAGAGGTCATAGAAAACTAGAGCCTCTAGAGACACTAGACCCAATTTAAGCTAGCTAAAGTTTGTGTTATCGGTATTAGATAACTGATATAAATACATAGATATATATTTTTTGAAAATACATACTTATGGAGAACATTCCCAGACCGATACAAACAATCATACTTATGAAACATTATTAACATTATTTCTCTATTTAGTGTTAACTTTACCAGAGAGTGAGTTCACAATATAATTTGACATACAAACATTTTTTTGGTGTTGTTCAGATTCGAACTTACAGCATTTGGGTGTAAGTCGGGCAGTAACACACTAGGCAACGACGTTCTGTGTTATATCATTGAAGTATATTAGGTTTTAGTTATTAGGATTGCTGCAGTCTTATAGGTGTTTACATTGTAATAGTTACCTAATAGATCAGAGTTCTAATTATGGTTCATATATTGCTATAATAACATATTACGCCGACCCCAAAAGAATGTGTTAAGGAAGAAGCAGATGAGGATATTGCTATGATAACCTATTATTTTGTATCTAAATTTTATTATTACTTATATTCCAATAATTATTTCCATACATATAACATGACTTTATTTATAATAATCTATCTAACTATTCATTTACTAGCACGGCACAAACGTTTGTACTCATGGGTATGATTATTTGTATCTGTCTGTGTGTTATCTATAATACGTATATATTTACCAAAAAAATATTATACCTATAGTAGTATCAATATCAATTATGTAGTATCCATAACACAAGATTTAGCTGGCTTAACTTGGATCTAGAGCGCGTTGCGTGAATTGTCCTGAGAATATTATTATGTTAGAGAATAATTACAATTAAAAGTTATATGATATGAATAATTTAAAATGTTATTCAATTATTCATATCATATAACTTTTAATTGCATCTCTATAATCTTGTATTATTAATAGGTATACTTCCTAGTTTAAAATAACATATAACCCAGCCTTCCAAGTATATGTGAGTGTCTAAACATAATATGTACATTATGTAGGGGAAATTCAGTAGTGTATTCTGAAGTTACACGCCGTTGCTCTGGGCTATGTTAATATCTTACCTAATTTCCATTTTCACATTTGATAATTGCAAAAGCCTTATTAAATAAGCGCCTAACATACCCTGGGCGCTACTTCAACTTAGATATTATTTAAGATATTAGTAACATATTTAGCATATTAACTTATATTATCCTTACTAATATTATAAACACGGAAGTAAATCAGTCTGTCTGTCTTGCTTTCACGCTAAAACTACTGAACCGATTTGAATCAAAGTCTAGAAGACTACGAGGAAGGACATAGGCTACTTTTGAATGTAAAATAAGGGTAGTAAGGGGTTGAAACTGGAGATGCAAAGTTATCTTATTCGATTTATTTTTAGGCTGTTGATTGAGTTGTATAGAATTCTGTATGGAAAATTTTATTTTTGAAGCTAGAACGATAAAACCTTTTTTTATTTGATTAGATTACTAAATATTTTTTTCATTATTTGGTCAAGATCACTATTTTATGCGGACGAAGTCGCGGGTACAGCTAGTTTTATATAAAGGTTAAATAATATATGGACGAATATATACATATATATGTATGTGGACGGAACAAGGGGCAGAGGTAGGGCACCTGCACGTTGGACTGATCCTGTACGAGAGGATGTCAAACGAAATATACAGCCGGTAATCCACTTAGTACAAAATAAAAATGCCGAAGCATTCCTGGTGGTCACGACCCTCACTCGTGAGGAATCAAAAAAGAAGAAGATATAAGATATATATTATAATTTAAATGAAATAGCAGTAATTATTAGTATTGTACATTTTTTTATAACGAGATGATTGCGAACAGGGAAAAATGTAAATAACATATTTCGCTGTCTCCAAATGAATGGGATAAGGAAAGATCAGATGATGATGGTGTTGATGTTATAATTCTTTTTTTAATATTAATATTGCAGGACAATTGGTATAGCGCCATCTAGTCCTAAAGCAGCTTGTGTTATTGGTACTAGACGACTGTATAATTAGAATGGCAAGCAAGCAGACGGTCCACCTGATGGTTAGCGGTAATCGTAGTCTATATACATGAACGGGTATCACGTTATCACGTTACACTGGTACCACACCAGTCATTCGAGAGGACCAGGGTGACTCTCATTTAGTACCTTCCCTGCTTAAACGCACCATACAACCAAAAGACAGGTCTTTTCAACTTTCAACTCAAATCCCAAAAGGATACGGCAATAATCACTTACTAAGATAACATGGTAAGTTTTTACCATAGTTTCTATTTTTATATTCAATTATATAATACGTGAAAAGTATGTCTAGAAATTACTTAACTTAAGAATAGACAATGAATCTAGAATAGGGTGAATAAAAAAAAAAAAGAATCGTAAAACTTGTTTTATTATAGTACCTAATAATAACAATCACAATATCAATAATAATACTTCTGCACTGTTCATTATATAAGAACATAAAACTAAAATCAAACTTATCTTATACAACTTATCTTCTAACTGTATACAATTTTTAAATTCTAGCAAAAATCATATAAGGTCTTGACAGACCTATAAGATTATTTATATATATTTAATATAAATTAAAGTATCGAATCTCACTTATAATATTTATACATATATATATCTTATAATTTAACACAGCCAAATAATTATGTTAGAAATAATTATGTATCACACATATTATGTAATTGGAATGCTTTATCTCCCCCTTCGCATTTTCAACATAAGAATTAAAGAAACCATAAAGAAATTTCTTTTTGCTATATAACACAAAAGAAATCTAAAAACAAAAGACTCCTTTGATTATCCTCTAATTAGATAAATAATTTTAAATCGAGACAAAATATTTTGCATATTTTTCTTTTACCATTTTCCGGACAATGAGATATTATGTATTTACTTATTAGACAACAGTCTTGGCGTTGTTCGAATATACTGTGCTAATATCGCCTCATATTTTACGGTTATTTACTAGAAGCTCGTTCATTTATATTCGCGAATACATTACCAACGAAAATATCACATGCCGAAACTATTCTCATTTGATTATTTAAAAAAAATATGCTAAGAAAAATAGGAAATCAGAATTACTATGGAATCTAGAAATATAGTAGTTCTTATTAATAATAACAATATTAATATTACTAATACACAGAATATATATTCTGTGTATTACACAGAATATATATTCTGTGTATTACACAGTAAGATCTATGTATTTTCAACTATACTGATGTGTGAAAAACTCATCTGATGATGGAAAAATTTAGTGTTATCATCACTAAATTTTTCACTCAAGTTTAACATTTACTTTCTTCTTTGCGACATCTCTAGTATACATAATAGCTCAATGATTTTCATGCATTTAAGACAACTTTCTCCAATTTAATCAACAAAACAAGGAAAATATTTAAACCATTCCGGCTTAAGTTTATAAAATATACGATGTTCTCATTAATTATTATACTCAATATCCAACATTATATTTAAACTAAGTAAATCCCCTTTCGTCTGCCACATCTCATTCTTCATTAATTTGTTGGTTGATAAAAGATAAAGATTCTTTAGTTTTTGTGTTAATTTAAATGCTATACATCAGAACTAGATCTGTATATGTATAATATAAATTAAAATAATTATATATTAACATTTATATTATATATAAACACAGAAATCAATAATTTCTAACTTAGTCTCAATTTCATTTTTATCACAATTTGCAGTTTGTTTTCGAAGAAGTCTATTTACTATGAACAAATCCATTTGATTCTGATCATTCATATGTCATTATTTTAGTCTAAAATCATCCTTAGGATATTGTGTCTAGGTCTAATATCCTTTAGAAGCTATTACACGTGATTAATTAATTTTCTATGATACCGTATGTCCTGATTCTGCTGATACCACCATCAGGCGCCATTGTGACCTTAATATGTGTTATAACATCGGACTCACAGTCAAACCAGTGTTCTACATGTGCTGACATCTGAAAAGAATAATAACAGATATAAGCAACTTAGTCGAAACATCTAGTCAGGTAAATATGTACATGTACATACATATAATAAATAGCCCAGGACAATTAACATAGCGTCATCTAGTTCCACGGTAACTAGAGCTTGTGTTATGGGTACTAGACAACTGATATAAATACTTAGATTTTTTTGTAAATACACATACATAAAAAATACGCAGACCGATACAAACAACGATATTCTTCATGAGTACCAATATCACTATTAATTATAATATAACTGTTTGTTGCGAAGAATCGAATCCGCGATCCATCGGAAGTAAAGCGGTGTGCTAAACCACCGAGGTCATCATACCTTTATTTACCATAAAATCTTTAATGTAAGACCTGGTTAACAATATAAATAATGGATATTAAACACGTAAGTTAAAAAATAACATAAGTTAAACAATATATTCATGATTGTGATTTAAGATACGGCAAGTAACATTTATAGACTGCTGTTGTAGTAAATATTACATCAAGATCAGTAAACATTTCGCCGAGCTGGTTCGAGTTTAACTTAGCAACTTTAAAGCAGCCAAATCTCTCAAAATCAACTATAATATTGACTTGCTTAACTGGCTAATACCCGTGACTTTATCTGCTTTCTTGAGATAAAATACAGCCTTTGTAATAGAATTAACTTCAAAAGACAAAGACAAAGAGAACGTTGAAATATTAAAAAACAAATCGATAAATACACTATCGCATTTATAATATTAGCCTTTATATATGAAATTTGGACCAGTTGTAGACAGGTTGCGATGTAACAGATAGACTCAGTATGGGTATGTTATGCGGAAGAAGGAGCATGTCTTAGAGATGGTGAATTAAACACAAACGTGAATAGATAGAAAGACTCGACTCGACGAGCAAAAAAAAGGAGCTCTGAAATGTCGGCTCATACGAATAAGTGAAAGAAGATGATACTGCGTCGACCCCAAATAATGGGATAAAGATAAGGCGATTATGATGTCAGTATATATGCAATTATTTATTAGAGTAACCTATAGAAATTTCTTTACATTTGAACAAAATGAACAAATTTTTAAATCAAGCAACAATAAATACTGACAGCAGATTTCTATAAGAAATAACAGAAAGCAACTGAGGCATAGCCGATCCTTCAGTAATAATAAATCAACTGCCTTAAGCTATTAATAAACACACAAAGTTATAAGGCTATTTGATTTAGATGTAAATCGGTAAACTAAATTGGACGTGACGTCGTAACAAATCAATATAAAGCCGGTTGTTTTAAGACATTCATTTTTAACAAACAAATCATTTGGACATTCTTTTCCTTTAGCTAAAATTTTCTAGGAAAGTTGAGTCGACGTCTTCTTAATAAAATGTTAGTGATTTAACGGTCCATCTGGTATGAATTCAACGCGTAGACATTTCGATAGAGAAAAATGAAGGGTTACTTTTTACTGTTTAAATCTAAGAAGTTTCTGGTAAAAGCTAATAAAAAATTAAATACGTTACAGAAATGACTATCTTTATTTTTATATGTATACCTATAATTTCAATTAACTTATGAACATTACTTATTGAAGAGATTTTGTATTTCATAATTGAAATAGGAAGGGATATTTATTGACTATACCAATTAAAATCACGAATGTGTAAGGTAACCGATATCACAATATAAGCTAAAATTGATATTGTGGTCATTCGTTGCAGGTCTTGTGTATTAAAATATCATACAACGTAGCCCATGAAACTTTACTCCCATATCTTAACTTTTAATCAATACATAACTTGTCCGTGTTATCGTGGAAGAAGTAAGTAAAAAGCGATTTGTAAGCAGATAGCACTGTACAGAACTTCTCTATCAAGATTTGAAAGTGTTCAGAATGTTCTATTTAGTTCACTAATTTCAAATTATATTTAATAACTTTATATATCTAACAAAATTCTAGCTGAGGGAGGTTAGTAATAGTTGTTCTCAAACTAATACCAATATCATAATTAATACAAAAATCAATTGCTGTATTGGGTTTAAAGTACGAGTATACTAATAATAACTTTTACAAAACTCGATATATGTAGATGTATTAATTTAAGTAATAATGCAGGTAAGATAATTGCAAGTGCATTGTCAGCCTTTTAGGGAGTAAGCTCTTTTCATTCATCTAGATGATCAGGATGGTATTTTAGTTTCTGACGGGTAGTACGGTGGTGAAAGTCAGCAGCTGGTATCAATCGGAATAATTCCTCAGAACATATAGGTTACCACTTACCATCAGGTGGCTAGACAGTTCACCATTTTAATTACTTAAAAATTATATACACAATATATATATCTACTAGTTGGTACAGTTATATATCTAATTTTACCTTTTTAGGCTTCAAGATACTCTGCCACGTTTTGTTCAACATCGGATACTGGTCCGCTCCACTACCAAGATGTGCACCTTCTATCGTCACAGAGTCAGGAAAATTGCCTTTGAAATGCGCAGTGTCAATACATATCTTCTTTATTCTGCCCGTGAAGCCCAATTTAAAGATTGCCCATTCTTGACCTTAAAAAGAAACACGTGGATTTAAAAATAAAATTAAGAATAATGCATAATATACAACGTTTTAAAAAGGTTGAACAAACTGTAATTATATTGATGACTAATTTTTATTGATTGTTTTTATTTTTTTAAATGTGTCCGTCCAGCTAATGATGGTTGTACTACATGTAGATGCTAATAACTTTCTCTCGCGGATCTGTTTGCGTAAAATTTGTGGGTATACAGCTGAAACTAAAGTCAGCTAAGCTTGGCTTGTCCAAGCCAAGTCAGAAGCGCAGAAGCTTCATAGTATGTTCACAGGCATCTTAGAGCAAAAATTTCGCATCTGCATCTCAGTCTGCATCCATACTCATATTATGGGTGACTGTTTGTTTGTTACTTTGTCATCGTTAAACGGCTAAACCTATATTAGTGAAATTTTGTGTGAAAATAAATTGTAACACGATATTGGATATAATAATAAGAAATAATATAGGTGACTTATGTAGGTCATAAGTCACCGAATGTCCTTATTATTGCTATCCCTACTATTCAGGACAAATAAAAACAGACGACGTCGCTGGTAAAAGCTAGTTAGTTATATGTAAGGAATTACCTGGTACTTTTAAGGTTCCGTCCTCATTCGCTTCTATTATGTTCGGTCTGTCTAATCTCCTAGCTGTCTCCCATCCATCTGACATGATTAGACTTTTACATGGCTTTATCATATTCTTAGGGTGGCCGTAGTGTGCATTTGAATATCCTGAAAAAAAGTCATACTTTAATTCCAATCCACATTTAATATTTAATACTAAAATATTTAAAAACTGCAATTCTTAGAATATTTGGGGTCGGCGTAATATGCTTTTCTCTTCCATTTATTTCTGTTCGCAGTCATCTTATTAAATATAACATTTTTTGTTCTAAGAAATAGTGATTTACTATTAACCCTCCGATTATAAAGGTTTTAATGTAAAATAAATACAAAAAATTAAATATTCAATTGAATTCTTCAATATTATCTTTGTTAGGTCATGTGTGTCTTTGCCAAATCGGAATAATAATTAATAAGCTATCACTACTACCCTACAATACATTACTGTATATGTTATATTATCAATCAAATTATTTAAGACAATTACTGTATATGTTATATTATCAATCAAATTATTTAAGATAATGATTTTGAGCACAAACATTTGTATTCATGAGTATGATTGTTTGTATCGGTCTGGGTGTTTTCTATGTATAATATGTATGTATTTACAAAAAAAAAATATGTATATGTATCAGTTATCTAGTACCCATAAAACAAGCTTTAACTAGCTTAACTTGGGTCTAGATGGCGCTGTGTGAATTGTCCTGAAATTATTATTATTAATGATATGGTTTATAGTCAGATATAGACTACAAAATTTATTGAAAATAACAAATTTCAGTCTACTTGTTCTATGATGGAAAATACCATTCGAATATCTTCACAGAAATTACTATAAGTCTAGGATCCTACATCATTATATATAGTTACATTTAATTATACTATACTAGTCTAATTAAACTACAGTGCCTAGTTATTTTCCATGTCATTAGGTATGTATTTTCCTATCTACATAGATTAGATTAACACAAGTTAGTCATTTTAATAATAGTTGAGTCTTGACTAATATAAAGCTAACTCTGACTCTTTTTCCGCTTCTTCACACAGATACATACAAACACACAGATACAAACAATCTTACTCGTAAATACAAATGTTGGTATAATGTCTGAATTGAACTCCCTGACCATCGCAAACAAGACGGTATACCAAACCGCTGTACCACCGAGGCCGTCAAACATTATATCAAATTCAAATTCAAAATATCTTTATTCATGTAGGTCTGTTACAGACTCTTATGATATGTCACATCTACCGTCAGTTCGGAATGATTTCGAGATGAGAAGAACTGACAAGAAACTCATCATATTTGATATTATATTTACTACTCGTATTATTAATTAGCATACAATAATAAGATTATTAATATGTAAAATTACATCAGTAATATTCTAAAATAAATAAATAAACATTATAATCCGCACTCACCTTGGCATGTGCCTCCATTCAGCAATGATATTAGGTCTATAATTTCACCCTCCCGTGGGGGTTCTGGTTTCGCCTCCCCAAACACCCTCAGCCTCGCTATACCACCATCAGGGTACATGTTCAAACGAATATGTGTCCATGCCTCATCGCTCACCACCTAAATATAATTTAGTGTTGTAATATATCTATTATTATTTAAAATTAAACATAAATGTAAGAGACAAGCCTCTACTTATTCCTTCATACGTGATATTGTGTTTAATTATATTTTAACAAATTAACAGCGCTTAATTATTTAATAATGATAAACGTTATTCATTTCACTTTTAATGTAAATAAATAATGTTTATAATAGTCAGTCAGTATTCAAATGTAATATTAAGTAATCAGTACATTTAAATAGAGGTTCAGTAATCCACTAACTAGTAGGTACTACTTTTAATTATTACAGAAAATAAATTATATTCCTATCAAATAATTAAAAAACTAAATGTAACACAATCTAAATTTACTATAAACGATTACTTAGCCCTAGAACTATAATTTAATGACAAAAAAAATGCATTTATTTATTTAGTACTATAGAATTCTACGTGAATTCATTTCGTTACCTTCTGGTAGTTGAGACGGGTATCCTCGTAGCCGGGTAGCAAAACCGTAGAAGGCACTATCTCCTCCCATTTTTCAGATTTCAGTAGTTTAATCTGTTGTAAATCCCAGTCGCTACAAGCGGAACCCATTTCCGAGAATCGTTCTGGGATCAATGCTTCTTCTGTAATAGAAAATTTAATCAAATACCTACTCGGCTAGCATTTTATGTTAGTTATAAATGTATATAGTGTAATGTATATAGGTTGGTAAGAATAATATTAATATAAAATATTAGACGATCATAAAATGTCCTACATGAATAAATTATTTTTGATTTGTTTTGATATAATCATGTATTGATTTTAATAACTCATGAAAGTGTATGAAGTATAGTGAGTAAGATAGAAAATCTACCTATGTACACACATTGTAAGGTATTAAATAACTGGAATATAAATAGATAATATAATATACATTATTTAATTAAATATGAAAATAAACTATTGTACTAGCTATAATTAACGATGTATGTAAATATGAAAACATTTATACCAACATACCTTCTGGGGTTAAACAGGCAGCCTGAATTGAATATTTCGGTGTGAAATTTCCAGTGAAAAATGCGGTATCAACCAACAAACCTGAAAATAACAGTGTAAAATAAAATATACACATAGCTATATAGCATATAATAATGGAGTATTACGAATTTTCAATTAATTGATAATTCAAAACTTTTATTTTTATTTTAGTTAATAATTAAAAACTTGTAGTACATAAATGGGTATTGTTATTATTATTTATAGACATAATTTAAGTCAAATGTTCATTTTTTTAGTTATGCATAGTGTGTATTTATTACTATACTATACTATTACTAGGGCTATTTATTATTATTATTAAAAAAAGCATCATTAATAATAATAAATTACTACGAAATAGATGCTGAGTCAAGTATATATTTCGTAGTAATTTATTGTCCTCCGAATATCTCATCTGCGATAACAGGCATGATAATATAGGTACCTCTGATAACACACTTCGTAGCCAATTTAAGGATGCACCAGTCATGACCAGCGACACGTTTCCTACGGGTTTCCCATCCGTCCATCCATTTTCCATATTCTGTAAATTTTTCTGCTACGAATACAGGCTCGGCATCCGATATCATATTTTCACATGGTGCAAAAAAATCATCTGTGGCAAAAGCTACGGAACCACCGGCCTGCAAAAAATAAAAAAACGATTTATTAGTATCAAGATGTTGTATTGTTTGTATTATAAAAAGGATATTTTTTTTAGAATTATTAAATTAAAAAAATATTTAATCGAATTCATTTATCATTATTTATAACAATACTTAATTAATTTTACACTAATGGTATATACATTTTCCTTACTCATTTCAATATAAAATACAGTACTATAACAATAATATTAAGCATATGGTATACGTAAAATAATTATATATCAATTATAAAATTTAATTTATAATTAATTATGTGTATTTAAATTTATAAATATTTAAAGAAAAATCTTAAGTTCTTTGTCTTCCTCAATAGACGCAACGAGTTTAAAAGATTTTTGTAAAATTCATTATTCTACAGATATATAATGATTCGTTTATTATAATATATTATATAATTAATGTAAAAAATATAAACTTTGTTGCAGATAAGTAAATATTAAATTTGTTCCTTTGCATCGTTTTATTAAACTCAACTAAAAAAATTAAAACAAAGTTCCCGCGTAAACTTACACCAACACTCGCAAATTCCCCCAACTCAGTAAACGCGGGCGTTTTGTCGATCATATTGTTGTAAATGTACAAAAAACTAAATAATAGATGCTTCCAGCTTTATTTACAATCAAACACTGTTCTGAGTTTGACTTGTGCTCCTTTTATATTATATTGTGCGCAGATAACAACAAGAATGGTAACAGACATACCTACTGCGACTGCGATTCATGTTCATTTGTTGATATGGAAATTTTGAGAACTTGTATACAATTTGCGATAAATTTTACATTTGCAATACAATAGTTTATTGTAAAGAAATTCGCGAATGGTCTTGTCAATATATATATGAATATTATATATATATATATTTATATTTATATTTGGAAAATTATTCAAACGTGGTAATTATATTCAGTCAGTCAAAAAATATACGTAATATCCCAACTTCAAAATGAAATAAATAAAAATAAATGGATAAATATTTTTAATAGAGTAGGTTATTTTTATATATCTTTTACATTATGTGATATCTCCCACTTTTGAACCAATTATGATGCATCTTTCTTTATATTGTGATATCAGATTTAATCTAGTCTATAATGTTGGTTTTGTAACAATAATTTTATAACAATTTTTACTTTTTTATTAGGAAAATCGCCTTTAATTGTTTATTTGTCTTTTTGTGAAACTAATATACCTAATACATAATCATATATTTTTTATGTAGGTACTTAATTGATTGTTACATATAAATAAATCTACTTTATTATTATATTATGTTCCCAGTTTGAAATATAATATGTGTAAACAGAATAATTTTGATATTTTTATAAAAGGTCATCATAAAAACCAAGACTTATCAGGAACCTAGCTAAATTTAATTCGCAATAAATACGCAATACTGTTATATAATAAAGTAGCAGTTTAAATACGATATCTGTTGTTCCCGAAATTACGACATAAAAGCAACAACTATTCAAAACTGAATATTTCTATCCTCAAATTATTGTCAATTGAAAAATCTAAGAGATAGTCTAGTAGTCAAGTCAAAACAACCTTCAATATTCAATAAAAAAATTGTGGTTAATCCCTGTTTTGTGAATTAATGGGCTATCTGACCTGACTTCTTTCTCATATTTTACAGGTACCCCGAAAGCCGTTTAGTGCAAGTGTGAACACCATTTTATCACCTTCAATTAAAAAAAGTAAAGACAAATGTCTTTATAACTATCTTTATAACTATATATTCCCTATAGAGAAATACAGATAAAAAAGAATATTGATTCAATCGTATTAAATCGAATGAATTGGCTACTTTCAATCATCTATAAATAAAACTATTCTAAGATCTGTTTAAACACAGATTGGTTTCGCTTCATTGAGCGTGTAAATTGGAAGAAGTCTTAATACAGTTTGGCCGTGACAAAAAATATATATATAAGTGCAGATAAGTACTTTATTTTGATAAAATTACGGTCTAGTGGCATTCACATTGCGAAGGTCGTGAATGAGAGTTACGTCTAAATAACTATCGTCGAATATTCTTTGTGCTCTCATTACTTTTATGTTGTTAGTATAATTATGGGTGGTAGCAAAGAGGCTTACACTGATAGCTCATGTTTAAAAGGTGCTAGGATGAAAGTTCAATCAATATAATAAATAATATTCCTGCCAATTCACATGGCGCTCAAGCTAAGCAAATCTTCACCCAGACCTATACAGACAATCATACTCATGAATACAAATGTTTGCACCCCGCGAGGACTCAAAGTCGCGACTACCGTACGTAGAGGAGGAGTATGCTGTACCGCTAAACAACCGAAGCCGTGAAATTAAAAGAAAAGTATAAATTACTCACCATATCATATTAATTAAGAATTAACTACTAATGAATTAACCTTAACCCTTTCCTCATCAAATACAACTACATGTGTATTATTACGAATAACCAATTCATGGTAGTATATTATACATACAAAACATCCAGTACATTTACTGCTATTTCTTCCATGGAACTCTTTACAGAGAAATTATTTAATTCACCATCTGTTTCTTTCTTATCCTATTTACTTGGGGTCGGCGTAATATGTTTTTCTCTTCCATTCATCCCTTGTTATTTACTCCCTTTTTTATCATATCATCTTTCACACAGTCCATCCATCGCTTTTTCAGTCTTCTTCTGTCTGTCTGTCTTATAACCATCCACATTAATATGTAACACCTTCTTCAAAATATTATCTTCATTCCTACGCATTATATGCTCATACCACGACAGACGTTCTTCAACCTCTCCAACAGCGCCGCAACTTTCGTACTTCTTCTTTATCTAGTCCATTCTTGTCACATCACACGTCCATCTCAACATTCGTATTTCAGTTACATGTAGTCGTCTTTCATCCGTCGCCTTTACCGCCAGCACACTAATCCATACAAGACAGCAGGCCGGATCATGGTCTTGTAAATTTTCCCCTTAAGTTTAGGGGGTCACACGTCGTCGCCGTAACCTGCTGCCACTTCATTCATCTTGCATTAATTCTATGCTTTATGGTTCGGTCTAATTCATAATTGCTTTGGAGTGAGTGCTAGATACTAGAAATTAATTAATTAATCAATGCTAAGTTTATCATGTTCTGTTTAGTAGTAGTCGTGAAGCTCATTTTTCATAGTCAGCCTCCAATATTTGCCATTGCTCCGTATGTGTGTGGAAATTAATAATGTTAAAATTACTCCCGGGAAATAGTTGATTTTTCTAGAATTTTCTTAATACGAGTACGGAGAACGGAAATCGAACTAAAAGTACGTAAATAAATAGAAGAAGAAATGAAATCTTATGTATTATAAGATTTTTATATACCTACTGTCAAGTTATACGAGTATACCTACATCTCATGATAATCACTTTTGTTCTCCTTAGCCTTATAATACTGAAATGTTTTATCTCAAATCAATATTATAATTGTGTCAATGTCGTAAACTTCTAATGTAACATGGAACTAAATAAATAGAATAGCAACATTTTTTCATTTTATGTCTGTTAGTAAGTTCAAAGCTTTGAGATTAAATCTAATTAATTTGTATTCTGAAATTTTGATAAAAATATTTACGCGATAGAATGTTTGTATTTGTTTTAAAATTTTATTGGTTTTTTTTATGGATGATAATGGAATAATGCACCAGCCTGCACTAAAGATTTGCGCTATCGGGGCAGGATAATTCAATAGGAAATTGCGTGGTGAAAGCCAACCTGACATAGTACAGTGCTAGAAAAGGTTTTATTAGTACACATTTCTAACAATCCCTTTCCCTAGTTTTTTTATTGTAGATACGGTAACTACTTCATTTAAAATTTTTGTTTGTTACTATTTTTTTAATAATTTTATGATCTTTTTATTTATAAATATGATTGTTTTTTTTATTTCTGGGTATTTTCGTATATATATATTATGTATCTATTTACAAACAAATAATATATAAGTATTTAAACCAGTTGTCTAGTACCAATAATACAAGCTCTGCTTACCATGAGACTAGATGGCGCTTGTTAATTGTCCAGGGTTATTTATTATTATTATTTATTATTTTATCTAATTGGTTCGTCTTTGGGATACCACTAATCACATGTGTACAAATAGACATAGTATTTATGGAGCCAAGCAACAGCGACTAATTATATTGATCACTTAACTCAATGTTTACCAATTTGAACTCCAATTAAAATACACATAACAAGCGTTCGACAAAATACAAAGCTCATTGTGGGGAGATGGCGAACAATCCACGTGAATGGTATTTTATTCAACAAACCCCTCAATATGTACACTAATTAATACTGGCAACAACAAAATGCAGGTTTCACAAAGTTTGTGCCTTACTATTAAAAGCATCAATGAAATTTAATTTCGCTTAAGGAATTACTGGTTTTGTTTAAAGAAGCAATTGTTCTCATCTTTAATTAGAGGTAATTTACATCAAGTCTATTCTTATACTTTATTATATCCGTGAGTTCGTTTGCTTTTTTGAGTTCAAGGATATTCTATGTCCACCCACATAATACAAACTATATTCACGCGAAATTTCATCAGTATTCGTTCAGCTGTTTTGTCATGTAAAGTTATTATTCAGGTTATTACATAACATTTACACATTACATAGTAAATTGAGGTTGCTTGTTTCCTACTAGAATACTACTGCTTCATCTCATAGACCTAAATACTTATAGAGTTTAGGTCACGCGTTTGAATCTGTTTGGCAACAAAAATAAGTGATTCACCATATTATCAGAACTTGTATATTTTGTATTATATTCTATCTATATGTGCTCTATTCCATATAATCATATTTTCTATTCTATATCTGCGACTAACTACTACTAGTAACTTGATCGCAGATTCAGAATGACGGACAAAATATTCTTGTGCTCTGTATTTTATTAATGACCTTATGTTATTTTAAACAATGACACAACAAATAAAATTTTATTCATATTACGAAACTTTATGTGATAACCTATAAGATTATATAATATTCTGATTCTTTATTTTCTGTATCTATACTTTAGTTTACCACGTTTTTACTCGCCTGTAATAATTTAGTTTATCTTCATTATGGACTTTATTATATTACTTGCTTCTCAGAAAACCTCTACGGTTTCTTCCGCACCATTCCGACCTTGTTATCACGTAAACACACGACACTGTCCTCCTCAGTAAAGATGACGACCCCATCCGTACTGTACTCATACAGTCGTCGTCGCCTCGTGGCAGTCTCACTGTAATGAGGATCGAAATTTTGTCGCTTATGTTCAAACTGCTATGTACGCTTTCTTCAAGTTTTGCGCGCTGCTTTTCTTTCGATAGTTGTGGATTCGATTCCTCATCCGATAGCCATTAAAAAGTCTGATAAACACATTTTTTGTAATTGCATATATGCAGTTACAAAAAAAAAATAAGTATTTCTGTCAATTATCTACTACATATGCCTACAACCACAAGCTCAACTTGGCTTGTAACTAAAAGTCATTGTTTGAATTTGAATTGTCTTAAGTTATTATTTATATTTTTGTACTTTTATTTCTATATCTTTATTGCACTTAATAGTAAATATTATCACTTATCTGCCCT